TAGCAGTAACAGTAGCAGTAGCAATAGTTGTGGTGGTTTTCGATTATTAATCAAGATTCATATAGATTGATATAGATACCTTTATAATTAAGATTTAGAGTTTATATCGTAACATAGTCAACTGTAGTTCTGTCGTAGAGTTTGGAGCTGGTCTTCGATTTCTACGCAAGTCAAATAAATATTTATAACTATTAAATAATGAATGACTATAATAAAGTTATTATTTGCGTGTCAAAATTATAGTGTTTGAAATGAAACAGCGTTGGCTTACGTTCGTGTTTTAGCAAGTTACACGGCTGATAAACCAATTCACTTTTTCCTTGAGATTTGGTGAACTTTGGTAGATATTTTCCTGCGTTCCTTCATTTGAAATTATTAATATGAACTACATCAAACATAAACTGGTTTTGCCTCTTATAGAGCTGTTCAGCCCGAATCTTTAGCTAGACATTTCACAATATAACGCAGTCAGTTTTCCAGCCAAAACTCGCTACGATGATGATGACAAAGCATTGACTTAAAACGTAAAGCCAATATATATACACGTGTAAACAATACAGTGTGGATGGATAAGACAAAAAAAAGTTGAATTAGTAATATTGTACCCATGATTTGTTTGTTTTGGAATTTTTCTTTATCAAAAACAGCAAAAGTTCAAAACTGATTTCGTTTTGCCACACTAACGATAAAACTCGCTAAAACGTGTATATGTTGTAGCATCTTCAACCGGAAAAAAACTGTTTTATTTTTTAAGTTATTTTTAGATTTGCTTAGTAATCAATGCGTGCCGTCCGTTTCACCTCAATCATTACCACGCAAGACTGAGAAACTATGTTTAAGTTACGTGCACGACTTCACATGACGATATTCTTACACGAAACATACATAATTGCGTTCTGAAGGTCACAAGTTTCAACCTGTTGAATATTCGAATAACATGCGTGCATGAAACTGTTTCATATTCACCAGCTGGGCCGACCTACAGAAAAAACTCAAGGTCAACTAATCAGAATTGATGATTTGACATCGTATTTTGATTAACGTTTCCCATGATTTTGTGCGCCCTACACTAAATCGAAGAAGAAAAAATATTAGTGTCATGATCTAATGGCCTCCTTATTGGATGATATCAGCCATTTCGAGGTTGCATTGGTACAACTGTTGCTGGTTTTCAATCGTTTCTCAGAGAATTAAATAACAAAAGACACGGCGGCCATGTTGGATGATATAAAAAAGACACTAATGACGAATTTTTTGTCAATTCCAAATTTCTTGAACAATTTCTAAAATTCTCCACATTGAAAAGGTTTATTACATGTACTTTGATACCTGTGCTTAGTGGTATTTAGCTTTTGTGCTATTTCACGGATTATACATTACTAGAATGATTTTACTTCCACTGTGAAACAAACTCATATTATTTAGTGACTAAAGCTCAGGTCAAACGTCGAACTTCACATGAGCCGAACCTAATTGAAACAATGGATAACAAGGCAGTCTTCTTTGATGTCATTAGGTTCGGCTCATGTCAATTAAGTTTGACGTTGTGTAATCTCCCTAGATGGGCTTTAAGCTCTAGGAGAAAATGCAGAGAATAAATATTTCTAAATAAAAAATTAATTAAAAAAAAGCTCGACGTTCCTGGTTGAGCGGTGAATTTTGTTTCAGCCAATCACAGCGCGTTTAGCTGTTTTGCCGCCGGCACTCATTCCCAGGCCACTGTTACCCAACTTTTGCGTATTTTTCTGTTTTCTTTGGACTTGGATATAATACATGTTCCTACAAGAAGCAGAAATACGGAAAGGAAGACTAAAAACAATTCCACTTTACCTCCACGTTTGCTTCGTTCTTTCCAGCTCCATTAATGCTTTGGGTCGGTCATTTTGTACACTCATGCTTTGCGCGCCGCGTTCACCGCTCAGCTGCTTGACCTTAGTCTAACAGTCAAAGTTAAACAAAAGAAAACATTGGAATTGGTGTCCACCACTGTGTATCAGTCCAATATCTATTTCACGGGTTTAGAGTGGTTCTACTCTGCCTGTGAAACAAAGTTGTGTAATACAGTAAAAACCTGCGAGCAAGAACCTGAAAATTAAGAACCTGTTAGCATCAAATCTGTCATTTATACCCCCTTTAAACAAGAACCTATTTAGCCTAGAAAATGAAAAGCAGGTTCTTATTTTCAAAAATCATCATTTAGTGATGCAGAGCTGGGTAAGAATCCTGTTTGGAAAAATAGGAGCTTGCGATTGCTGTGCAGATAAATCAAATAATGTAATAAAAACGTAAAGTGAAGGAAGGTTGATATTAATTGTATTGCATTATGAGGGGTGGGGTTGATTGAAAAATAGGCTGATTACCATTTTGTCTTGTAGCTGGATTTTATTGTTTTTACACAGAAATAAGAACCTATTTAAGAACCTAGATAGCCTAAAATTGTGTTAACTACCATTTAAACAAGAACCTGTTTAGGCTAACTCTTAAAAATGTAGGTTCTTACTCGCGGGTGTTTACTGCAAGTGACAAACAGTCAAAGTAAAATAAACAAAAAAAAAACAACGGAATTTGTGTCTACCACTGTTGACTATTTTTTCACGTGCGATGTATAATCACTCTATGTACGTTTACTGCA